CGGATAGTAATGCCTGTGACAATGATGACGTATTTTTGACAGTCCTTTCGCACACCGCACTTCGTGTCGCAATTCGCATGTCGTGCGTGTAACAGAGCTGTTGTGAAAACAAGCGTTGTGTCTGTAAACTGTCATAGTCGTACATTTTGGAGTTGTACTCTAACAAACACACACAATCTCATATCTGTAAACTGTCGTGGCCGTAGATTTTGGAATCCAACTCTGACAAAAAACAGAATTACATACAATACTTTTAAATTACACACGGGTAAATTAAAATGACACGCAAATGCTTTGAGTTGCGTACGATTATTTTTGACAGTGATTTTATGCCATATAAATTCAGTTAAATCATCAAACATTTGTATGACTTGACAGTGACTTGCTTGACCCAAGCTACGACTTGACTTGACTTGCTTGATTCTCACAAAAATTGACTTGGACTTGCTTGAGACTTGAAGCTTAAGACTTGTGACTTGCACATGCGTGACTTACTCCCAACCTCTGCAATTTACGTAATCAGATTTTTTTTTCCAAGTAACAAGTTACGCATTACTTTTAAATTTACAACAAAATATCCGAGTTACTTTTTCAAATAAGTAACGCAAGTTACTTTGTTTTCCATTTATTGATTGAGACCCTCTTGTCTCAATGTTTAGAGAAATTGCGAGTAAGTGAAAGTTGTGTGCGCTGTGTAAACATGATAGTTACTGTAGTTCTAGACTAAATGTGAACATAAATTTACTCATCTCACTTGCTCAAAAACAGATTCAGTAATCCTAGAAATTAATAAAAACAATGAAATGCAAACTCGGAATATTCTGCAAACCTACAATAATTAAATCTGTTAAATAACGCAAATATATATTATGTATTTAATCTCACTGCTCACCTTTGATGGTCCAATTCACCCATACGAATAGGCAAAAATGACTTTAGTTAAACATCATATATATATATATATATATATATATATAATTTATTGCTGAAATAAGAGTGTTATTTATTAATAAATTTTTTATTAGCAAGCCCAGCCCAGGTGAGAAAAAGTAGTGCAAAAGTAATATAACACATTAGTTTCCATAAAAAGTAACTAACTAATTAGTTAATTTTTGGGGAGTAGTGCAATATTGTAATGCATTACTTTTAAAAGTAACTTTCCTCAACACTGCTGATGTTGTGCTCGCTGTGTGAAGACTTTTGAAAAAGTGACCTAAGTATTGAGAAATCGGGCCAATAAGTGGGACCCCAGTTTTCTGCACGCCGGTGGTGCTAGCCAACCACGAACGCCACGGATCCCCTTCTTTTGTGAACCCAGCAGGCTTAAAAAACACAGAGTATCAGTCTCTTTCACACTTAATTATCAGACAACAGAGAGTGCTCACCTTTCCCCTTCCCCCCCCCCTTTTAAAAGTATACAAGAATTGTTCATTGTCCACAGGTGTGCTCGAAGACATCACTCCTTCCGTATTTGTCTGTAGCAGTGACGTCACGCACCATCAATCGAATCATAATCATTACACTATACTGATGCCAGATGTCCCACCCTGTCAGACACTTTTTCTTTTGAACAAAATAACCCGATCAACACCTCCAAAAAAAGCACCCTTTTCTTTGTCTGAAATGTTAGTAAATTTACATTAACTTTTTTTGTTATTACATTATTCAAAAATAGATAAATACATTTAAAAAACAGTGGGGGAAAAAAATATCGTAGACCTCTAAAATAGAGAATAATTATTTTAAGACTGATTTGTGTATTCAAATATAAAAATAAAATAAAACACTTTTTTCTGTCTAAATGTAGGTTAACTATACTTTTGCATTGTTTCATTTTTTATGTAAAAAAATATAAACTGCAAAAAAAAATAATTATCTTATTGAAGCAGGAAAAGATATGTCTGCTTATTACTTTAAATCACAGAACAAAAAATAAATATTTAGACTTATTATCTAAGAATTATATACTTTTTGTTAAGTGGTTTGAAGACAGAGCACAATATTTGACTGACTGAAAAGTCTGACTTAGATTGTCCTCCTCCTCCCCCTCCTTCAGCAACTCTAACAGCTGATGACTTTGCCACTTTCTTCATTAATAAAATTAAAACCATCAGTACACAATGTTCCACACCACAATCTGGCAAGCACATCTTACCAGCAAACATAAACTCATTCACATCCTTCACTCTCTGAGGCAGAAGTCTCCAAACTAATCCTTTCTAATCATCCTACTACTTGTCCGCTTGAACCTATTCCATCCCTACAAAACCACCACTGGCTCTGCACCCCTTTACCTAAATTCATTACTTCAGATTTATGTGCCCTCTAGAAGCTTGCGTTCTGCAAGTGAACGTCGTATTATTGTGCCATCCCAAAGAAGCACAAAATCACTTTCACTGACTTTTAAATTAAATGTTCCCTCCTGATGGAATGACCTGCCCAAATCAATCCGAGCAGCTGAGTCCTTACCCATCTTCAAGAATCGACTAAAAACACATCTCTTCCATCTTTATTTTTTTACCCTCTAACTCTAGCACTCTCTATTATAATTCTATCTAAAAAAAAAATAAGAAATGAACACTAGCTTTTCTAATCTTTTTGTATTCTATTTGTTTTCATTTATTGTACAATTATCAAAAGCAAAAAAAGGCCTCTAACACTAGCTTGCTTTATTCTTTTTCTATTCTGTTTTTTTCTTTTTATTTATTAT